GGTATACCAGTATACCCGAAAAAAATTCGCCAAAATACCCAAAATTCATCCAAATATACCCAAAATTATACCCAGGCATACTTTACACCTGAAATTCAAAGCAAGTGATATACCGAATACCCGTATTTAAGCTGCAATATACCGTATACCCGATTTAAAAAGCCCCTGTATACCGTATACCCAAAAACCCTGGCTGACCCTGATTTACAGAACCACCTTTGGTGTCAAAAATCTCTTAGCCAATCAGACACAGCCCGAGAATTCATACCGGTTCAAGTACATTTGTCTTCTAAGTCCTTGCACAGGCCCTGGATCCTGTTAAGAGCATTTACTTATACTCAATCTGTTGTTTACAGTGAATTTACATCCTAAAGTTGAGGTGCTGTTAAAAACATCAACATTTGCAGTTGTTTTCCAGACCCTATCGAGACATGAATGAATGTTCACGCCTCCCTAAACATTAATTTTCTTCTCCCCATGATGAGTAAAGCATTCACCCTTAGTCAAACAAGAGTCTTACAGTGCGACTACAATAAGTGGGGCCACCCAAACAAAGTTAACCAATCAGATTACAGGAAAATAACAATACATTCTGAGAAAGTTAGTTGCCAGTCATTAAAATCGAAATAAACAACATGGGTCGAAATCAACCAATTACAGCCCACAGACGTCACCTTTTGAACCTGCAGTAGGAAGCCTGTGTTTCCTGAGAGGTCCGTTAGAGTGAATGACACAGGAAAAAAACATAAATGTTATTTAAATCTTTGACTTGAGGTTGTGATGTTATTGCAAAGAACGGCAATGGTTGCGAAGGAATTGCTGGTAGATGACAAAATAACAGCTTGTGCCCAAAACAAATACGCCTTCTGGGTGTAATCAATGTAAAGATTCAAACAGAAAGACATTGCCCGGTGAAACATTTTACTTTCTTGAAAAACGTTTGCTATCAATATTATAATTTTGTGCTTTGAGTAACTTATTGTTTTCTTACAAGCTGCTGACTGGCCCACAACCAACTTTCTTGGAGTGTATTGTTACTTCCCTGTAATCTGATTGGCCAACTTTGTCTACGTTGCCCTGGTTACACAGCGTTCCAGTTTATTATTTCATGTAGACCATCTGAGGGGTCACCAAGACCACATGCTAATTTTTTTCGTAATACTTAACTTAACACATATGTCATCTGTTGGACCAGGAAGCCTTATCTGCCAGGTCATTGACCTGAGACCCATTTCTCATCTAGAACACTGGTTACAGTAGTTGCTAGACTGCAAAACAGTCCGTATTTTTGCGTACCGGGTATTCAAGTACGCGCAAGCAGTCAAACAAAAGGTCTGGAACGAGGCTGAAAACAGAGAGCGAGACTGGGGAGAGACGTCATGCTTTACCGATTTCTTTACTCATTTGAGAAAAAAACTGACTGTTTTGCACTCTAAGTAGTCACCCTCTTCCGTAACATTCAGATTTTTATTTGGCAAGAAAGACAAGCTATGTTAAAACCAAATTAGCATTTAAAATTTTGATTGAACTAAAACAAAGATAACTAGAGTGTTATGGAATGAATTCAAATTGCCATGCTGTACACCATCAAGAGCTACTTGTCAACTATTTTCTACAGCTATGGATGTCAACTATTTTCTGCAGCTATGGATAATTCCATCTAACAAAACATTTTATTAATGTTTTTGAAAGTACCGCAACATAACTCTAAGTAAATGACTGGGCTACAACCTATACTTCCACTTTCTGAATGTTGTTTGTACTATATGCTACAAGGTACATAACTGACTTTCAGAAAAAAAGGTCCCTTGTATAAAAGTACTGTTTATAAATAAGACATTTTCTGGTGTTCTCCTTTGGTATCACTTGTCCTTGTTGATTCCATATTTTTCTTTCATTTTCTCCAATTCCTGTCTCTTCTTTTCCCTGTCCAATTTTTGGAAAGCCTGAATAAAAAAAGAAATAAATAATAAACATTGGATTTGACTAAAGTACAGTAGAACCTTGATATGAAGAAAGGCCAAGGGACTTGCAAAATAGTTATGTTTAATCAGCTAGAAAATAATATTCTTTTGGTTCTATTGTCCTTTCATTTCCCATGAAAGACACCACGAGTCATGCTGTCTAAGTGACAGCCCCATCTTGGACAAATAATATTGTTAGTCTACTTTACCTTGGTAGATTGGTAGTAGAGTACGACAAGGTAGCGATTGCAGACGTTGAAGCCTGACAGATGATCACAAGCATTCTTGGCATCAAAGATATCTTCATACACTACAAATGCTGTGCCTCTTGTTTCTGGTGCATTACCACTGCAATTTAAGAGCAAAAAATCAAGTTGTGGCTTTACCTCAAAATTAACAGACAAAATGGTCTCACTGACAGGGCAGCAAGAAAGTGAATATGAGTGCCAACAAAGAGGATTCCCGGCATTGCCTTGAGTTTAACCTTTTCCTAACTTACAACTTAGCCATATGCAACAGTAACTGTAAGTGTTGTAATATGAACTCGAACTATCTTTCGATAATTTGATTGCACTGACAGCTGTAAATGGCTGTGAACGCCAAACATTCTTGAACTCCATAATTCCTATCACTTAATAGCTTTTATTGTAGACCATTGCTTTCATCACAACTGTGTTAAATACTTCCTTACTTCTCTAAAAAAATGTCATTAAAACAGCCGTTAAGGTCTTCAAAGTGCCTAACTCATAACATGTCCTGTGAGTTCTGTATTGATTGTGAATCAGTAGTTGAAAAGTAAAAATCATGTGTATTGCATATGCCAGAGTTATTCAAATTTTCTTCATTGATCCAACCAAAGGACATAAAAATAAAAGTGAGGTAAGAAAAAGATGAAGAAAAAGAAAAGTAAAAATAAGCAATTGATGTTTATACAAATGCTCTTCATTAGAAACACAACAGTGTATGAAAAAAAATTAGAGGAACAGCATGTTTATACAAACACTTACAGCAAAATTTGTTGTATCGTGCTGCGCGTATCGCAAAGTTCGACGGGATTTTGGGTTTTTCTCTTCTGTCAATCATTTGATTGAAGGCAGGGTTAATGCAAATCAGACAGTAACATGCTTGCCCAGCTTGACTGAGAATGACTCTAGACTGCTCAGGAATAGCAAAGGAAATCCCAATGGTGAGTGGATTTTTTTGTCGAAGGAAGGAAGGAGGCAGATGTTGCTTTATTCTTACAAGTGACAAGAATAAGAAAGATCAGTAAAACCTACGAAGCAAACTTAACTAGTCGACTATTGCCTGAAACAGGACGATCACAAAGCAACGAACCTTGAAACATGAAACAAACAAAACAGACCGAAATCCACCAATCACAAATAATAAAAACCAGGACCGCTTGAACACATGCAAGTAAACATGTGTTTCCTAAGAGGTCCACTAAGATGATTGATGGAACAGAAAAACCCAAATTTCCTTCGAATTTTGCAAAATGCACAGCGCGATGCAATGAATTTCGCTGTAAAAGGAATCAGCGTGTTCATCAGGCATCAGAGATTGGAGAATTCTCCATTTACTATGCAGAATTCTCCGACTAACTTTCGGTAGCTTATGAATATTTCTTATTCACACGTGGAGCCTCATTCAAAATATTCTCCGGTAATGTTACACCTTTCTCCTGCCACTAGGATTCTTAATAAAAGTTCTGAGGAATAAATATTTAAGGATCAACTTAAAGTGGCTACATGTATAATGTCACGAGGACTTACCGCGAGGATCTTTACAGAAGGAAGCAATGGAGAAGAGCGCAATTTCTGGCTGATTGTTTTAGGAAAAGATGGATACGAGAGTACATCCCAACTCTGCAACAACGCCAGAAGTGGATACGCGAGAAAGACAACTTAAAGATCGGAGATGTAGTTCTTGTTGTGGATAACAACTCCCCGCGAGAATGTTGGCTCTTTGACCGCGTTATCAAGACTTTTCCAGGACGAGACGGTAAAGTCCGTGTGGCAGAAATTAAGACGAAGAACTCTACTCTAACTAGACCAATTTCTAAGCTATGTTTGCTGGAGGAAGCTGTCTAAAACTGTGTTTATCGAAACTTGAGAGTTTTAGAGACTGATTCAAATGACCAGGTTCTAATTGGCGGACTCTTGGTTTTAAATTTTCCTCGTATTTATTTTGCTGAATCAGTTAAATTCAGTCAAACCCCCCAGGATGTTGGGGCAAATTTTTTCCTTTTGTTTTTCGTTTTCTCACTTACTTGTTATCGTGTATTCTTTTTCTTTTCGCTCTCCGGTATTTTGTTAATTACGCTCCTTTGTTACGTGCTGTATGTAAATTTCGTTATAGTTTGTTATCTGGCCCTTATTTTTTACCAGTTTATGCGTCTACTAGTGCAACAGCATTAGTGGAAGTAGATTTTTCTCCTCGGTGGCCCTGACCACCAACTGTGTCATCCTCAGAATTTGGTAAGCAGCTTCGTTTTCATCGTTTTTCATTAATCTCACTTTGCAGTCGCCTTAAAGTAGTTTTTCTGTATTGTAGCTATTATTTTTTCGCTCTTTGTAGGAATTTACTTTTATGGGTCGTTAATAGTAAAAACATTTGCTGATCGTGAACGTGTTGTGTTTTTGGAATTGGCCCTTGCCCGTTCACCTTCCTTTTCCCACCCCGACACACGCAAGAGCGTCGGGAGAGCTTGCTCGCAGGCTAGTAAACGATCGACTAGTGTTATATTTAACAATTATTCCACGAGGGCGCGTTGGATATGAGATGATAGATAGCCAAAGAGGAGCGTAGCGCCGAGTTGGCTATAATCATCTCATATCCAACAAGCGCGAGTGGAATAATTGTTTTATTAAAAACGCCCACAAAATACTAGAACAAACCGGAAAAGACAAACGACTTCCGCTATTCACATGTCACACGTCTATCAAAACTGTCAACGCGCGAACGGACTCGCCTGGACTGTATGAATGAAAAATCAAAACATTGTAGGGATGAACATTAGTTTTTTAAAAACTCATCGAGATTCTAGGATTTTACACAGGAGAACAGCTAAAAAAACCTGGCAGATAATGTGAAGGAAAAGAGTTTGACTAATAGTCGCGGGTCGCGGGTCGCGGGTCCAAAGTCGCGGTCGCGGGTCCAATGTCGCGGTCGCGGGTCCAAAGTCGCGGTCGCGGGTCCAAAGTCGCGGTCGCGGGTCCAATGTTGCGGCAGGGAAAAATGATTTGGGGTTCGACGTAACAGCTGAGTGAAAACGACTGATATGAACACAATATAAAGGGAAAAAATCTTTTTTATGCAGAATACTCTACGGTAGCCAATTTACAGGTTACGCATGTTAGAGTCAACAAAATAATGTCTCAAGAAAAGACCTAAAAGAAAAAGCTAGCCGACTTTTCTGTTCAGCGCAAGTTTATTTTTTTTTCTTTCTGTTGGGCCTAGTTATGTGTAAATTCAGCTTTGAATATACTTATGCATAACAGTATCTGATAAAAAAAAGTTACCATAAGTTACCATTGCTTTCTTCTTGTCGATGAATTGCTCACAAATGCTTAAGGGTTCAATTACTGAAAAATATGCGATACACTTCCTAGACTACAGATTATAAACGTTACAACAACTTAAAGGCTTTTTTTAAAAAAAGCGAACTCGGGCTCAAAAAGCTACGAGTCTGTCGGTAGAAGAAACGAGAACTCTTATATTTAACAAATGTTTTCGGCAAAACTGAAAGAAAATGTAAATAGGCGCATGAAACTTCATTCAAGCGGTATTCAAGGCATGAATTTAATATGGAAACAAGTAATAATCCACAGAAAGAAGTCTGTTCCTCGAAGCAAGATTTTCGCTTAATGCTTTTATTTTTACAACGACGGCAACCCAGAGAGTTCAATATAACTTCTTGTTCTCTTCACCCAAATGGCAACCAGGACAACCTGACAATAGGAAGCCATTCAATGTGCGTCTCAGTCAAATCTTGAAAACATGCATCGTAAATAACTAAGTGAGTAAGTAGGTAAGGAAATAATAACGCCCGATATCATGAAGCTGAAAAAGAAAGTAAACCGAACACTGAAAACGGTAAGTTATCAACTTCACCAGAGCTAAGAAAAGACAATAAATTAGGTAAGTAATTCCAGATTCCAGGTACTGGATTCAAGTCTTTGTCAGTAGAACCAAGAGACTATGATCTATTCTCTCTTGGTAGAACTTGGATTCCGGATTTCAATCGTTATTGGGAACAAACTCCTTTCTGTGGACAAGAGAGGATAAAGCTCGAGCTTTATTCCCTCTTGCTGTGGATTATTACTTGTTTTTTATTAAAGTCATGCCTTGAATACCCGCTTGAATGTACTTTACTGGCACTTCAAGGCCAACGTCTCTCCTCCTCTTTCCAGTTACTTGTGCAAAGAGTTTATTTTGGGAGTTTGCGACTGTTACGCGGGAAATCTTTTAGAGGACGGGTAGCTTGCAAACTAAACTGAACGCAGGGTTGTCGGAACAGCAACAAGAAGATTTATTCCAAAGATGAACGTAGTTTCCACTGAGTAAAACTCCACAACAGCACGTAACTCGTTAAACTTACACGGCCTCCGCCAACTTGAATAAACACTGCCTTCGTCACACTTGACTAAACACGACCAACGTCAAACTCTCTTCGCTTGTGAAAACTAGTTAAAACTTAACTCGGGCTCGCCTACCTTATATACGTTTACCATAAGATTCTAGAACTTTCCAAATAGTCTAATTATAGAAAGATTACAAAATATACCGCTTTTAGAAACGCTTACACAAGATCCTAAAATAAACAAATTATGAACTCTCGCGAAGCTTCTAGAAAGTCACACTATTCACGCAATACAATTTTTCGTAACAGCGACTAGGAAGTTTTTCAACAAGCGTTTTCTTTATTTTTGCCGAAAACATTTGTTAAAATTGAAATAGTTCTCGTTTCTTCTACCGACAGACTCGTAGCTTTTCGAGCCCGAGTTAGCCTTTTTTAAAAAAGTTTTTAAGTTGTTGTAACGTTTATAATTTATAGTCTATGAAGTGTATCGCACATTTTTCAGTGAACGCACCCCTAAGAATTTGTGAGCAATTCATAGACAAGAAGAAAACAATGGTTACTCATGGTAACATTTTTTATCAGATGCTGTTATACATAAGTATATTCAAAGCTGAATTTACACTTAACTGGGCCCGACAGAAAGAAAACAAAATAAACTTGCGCTGAACACAAAAGTCGGCCAGCTTTTTCTTTTAGGTCTTTTCTTGAGACATTATTTTGTTGACTCTAACATGCGTAACCTGTAAATTGGCTACCCTAGAGTATTGTGCATAAAAAAGATTTTTTCCCTTCATATTGTTTTCATATCAGTCGTTTTCAAATCATTTTCCCCTGCCGCGACATTGGACCCGCGACCGCGACTTTGGACCCGCGACCGCGACTTTGGACCCGCGACCGCGACATTGGACCCGCGACCGCGACTTTGGACCCGCGACCGCGACATTGGACCCGCGACCGCGACATTGGACCCGCGACCCGCGACCCGCGACTATTAGTCAAACTCGGTTGAAAAGTCCCTCAAGCGATTCTGGCCTTACTTTATAGCTTTCAAGAGCTGCATCTCGAATGGTAACTCTAAGTAATTATTGTATACAGTGTATGTTTGTTTTTTTTATATCTAATTTCATGAAGTCGAGCGCAGTTTATCAGGTTAATTTATGCACGTTTGTGTTAAGATCTGAGACAATGATCTGATCTAGTATATATAAGCTTACAGAACTTTAAAAAGCCTTTAGTCGATATTTTCTCTCCGCATATAGAACGAAAAAACTTTCCGAAGAGTATTTAGTTATAATTTTGGCAGTAGAAAGAAAGCTTTGAGCGGTTTTCTTGCCTCGAGTTCATCTTTGAAAACAGTAACAGGAAGCCGGCTACAAGCTTTAAGCTTAAGCTTAAAGACTCAGTTTTTAGAGACGCTTTAATACTTGTCTTCGTGAATGAAAATTGTTGTCTCTGTAAATGTTTCACCGAATTACATTTCTTTTATTGATTGTTAGTAGTCTCTTACAATTTTAATCGCTTTGCAGTTTGTTTTCAGTCGTTCATAAACAACGCTTGCAGGAGTACTCAAAATGCTGCTCGTATCAAACGCTTTTTAAGATTGCACATCGTTATAAAACCATTTTAATAAAAAAAATAAACACAATAAATTCTTTATTAGGTTGAAGCGTAACTCGTTGAATGTTCACTGAAAATTTGGCGCTTGTCAAAAGTGAGAACCGGCTGGCCGTATAAATGATTTTGGAAATTATTTGAACGGTTTTGCTAAAAGCCCACGAGTGCTTCGTACGGTTCTGAATATTGAATGAGTGCAATTTGTCTTGAAAAATTGTGAAATACTGCATTTTGTCTGAGGTCTATATGATAAAAACAACGCCTCATATCACTGTTTCAGATGTGATGTGTAAAAAGTATGAAATGTTGGTTTACACGCTCCCAGAGTTGTTGGCAAGTTTTTGTTAAGTAAACTTGTCGAAAGCAAAAAATTCGGCCTGATTTGTTTTCCAAAAATTCGTTTTCCAGGCCTAATCTACTGTGATCAAGAGCCATTATGGCTCTAAAATGTGATCGAAGATGTTTGCTATTTTTTGGGTGTATATATACGGCTATCAATTCGATGCAAGATTCAATTCGATGTAAGATTTTTTTTTCACTCTAAAATCACTTAGCCTTAGCTTTCCCTTAAAGTTAACTGATTTGTGGATTACAAGTTTATTGTTTGATTTAAATTCTAAATTTATTAATGGGAGCTTCGCTTTTAGCCCTGGCTAAATCTATATATTATTATATATTTTCATGTGTCTAGTTTTAGATGGGAAGGCGAATTTTCCTACGGCATTAACTAAGCGGGAACACCCAACGACTCTTTTCCGGTACAATATCTGTTCGGAGAAGCAAATATTGCCTACAATTTTCTATAACTGGACGACGGCTAAAAATTTCCACATGACCGTTCCGTTCATGTACCATTTTCGAAGCATATCGTATAAATTCCTTACGATTTTCTCAAGCTTAATTTTAACATTTGTCTGCCCAAGTAAGGCCATTTTTTCAATACAGAAAAGGGAACCTAAAATTTTCCGATTCAAAAATGGGATGGCGTTAAAAATTAAGCGGGAATGTCTAATTTTCGTTGTATCTCAAATTTCACCCAAATTTTTCGGACAAAAAATTCTCAAGCCCTTGTCATTTCCAAAGGACGAAAGTTCCACTAGGATGACCAAACACGTACATACAAATTGTATATCGCCGAAAAAAGTGCATTTCTAGATATCTTAAAATACTCTGGATAGCCTAAAAAGTTTTTCCAATGTATTTAGGAGAAAACCGTCGTTGGGTGCCCTTGACTAAACCTAAGTCACTTTTAACAATATGTAGCACTCCAGAGGATGCTGGCTGTCAAGTTGGTGGGCTCATTCATTTAGT